TTTCCATTCCTTCTTTTCTTCTGCTTCTCTGTTCTATTGAAACAAGCCTAAGGTGTTTTATACATTTGCTTTGTTTCTCCAGCCCATAGTTAAAATTAGCCATGGTTTAGCATTCAAGATGTAAACCAGAGTTATGTGAAACACAATCTTCTGATCTCCCTTTGCAGTTATGCAGAAGATCAGGGGGAGAAATGGGGCCCATGGCTTGAGCCTCATGCAGCTGATATTAAGCCATGGCTCAGCATTATGCCCAGACAAGAGCATAGGGACTTAAACTCTCCAGGCTCTGAATGATACTGAAGTAGGGAACATTGGAGAATTTTTCAGGTGTTGCTGTCAACTCTTCTGTACCTCCCAGGGGAATCCAGTGTTCACATTTTTTGATAACCCTCAGTCAGGTGACCTCATCTTCTGTTTTACCTTTTGTTGTGATATCACTGATACTTTTATTTCATGTAGCTATGACAGAAAGCCACCCATAATTTTCAGGAGGAATCATTGATCTATACCAGAGCTCCCTCCAGGAGATTTTTCTTCCTGCGGTCTGCGTTTTCCAAATTTCTATACAATCTCTTTTGACTGGCAGTAGCGTTGTTGATGATATCCAATCAAATGTACCTAACACTGCACATTAATCCTCTTCCTCATCATCATCACATTTCTATACCATCCATAGCCAAAGCAAAATATGTTAAGTCACCCATTCAGATCTCAACCAGGCCGGGCTCTGCTTAGCTTTCTTCGGCAGGATCAGACTTTTCAGGCTACACAGAAGCTACACTAACATAACAAAAAAGTCTCCATTCCTTCACCTGAGGAGTTTCCAGCTTAAAATCTGCACAGTGCATGAGAAAAAGGAAAGGCACCAGTAGAGAAGAGCCATTACACTGAGCTAAGGCAGTGTGGTACCTTTCTTGGCACTCACCAAGGTGTCCTAGGTTTGGAATGGGATGCATCTGTGCATACAGCTCTTCTTTGCACTTGGTCCTGAGCAGAGAGGAAGCCCGTGAATGCTCACACAATTCTGGTTGTGCAACTGGCAACCTTTTTCTGCAGTACAAAGGAAGGCTGCAAGTCACACATGTGGGAGAGGGAGGCTGCTTGTGCAGCATCCATGTGGTTTGTGTGATTTTCAGGCCAGGTGGCTGATAGGGAACTTGCCAACAGTGAGAGGATTAAGTTAGAAGGATGGAAACCATGATAATGTAGAAAACACTTGATCATTTATCAGGCTGAACATGAAATAAAACCAGGAAGTGTAGTAATCATGGAGGTTTGTTTGCCATGTTTTATGAACCCTGTCATCTTGTCCTGTCTGAAGCAAAGAAGCAGTGAGATTTGAGCCTGTGCACTTTTGAAAGCAAGTGAGGAATACCTTGCTAGAGCTCTTAGCTTCCATCAGGTACGCATGGACAGGAACCACCGGTCTATGCAAGAAGAATGCAGAAGCTACCAAGAAATGGCAATCTATCACATCTGCATTCATTTATTTATTATTTATCTCATTTTTAGGCTGCCAATAGCCAAAATGCTCTCTGGGCAGTTCACAAAATGCACCATCCAGGTTTAGTTTTCCTTTGGAATGAGATCACTGGAGCTTTATAGATATATTATATTATTTGCATGTATCTGCAGCATTTTAATGGTGGAGGTTCACATCTTCAGGCTGTCCAACAGATGTCCCCGTAGGTCACTGTTCCCTCATCAAATGTCTAGGGTGGGAGCAGCCAGTACCTTAAGAATTCCCAAATCCCTAGTTCTTTTCCTTCCACAGACCTGGCTCGTCCATCTGACCTAGATGACCATATTCCACAGGGATGGCAACATCATGGACCAAACCTGGATTCCCTGGGAGCATGGAGGCTGGTGGTCCTGGAGCCACCAGTCTCTACTGCCGGAGGAATTGCCCCAGTTGCACCTACTCACAGATAAGATCAAGGGACTTTCACCTGTGAGCAAAGCTTCTGGGACTCAGGCAGCAGCTGGGACAATGCTCCTGCAGCTGCCAGCTCAGCCTGGCACACACCACCCCTGCAGCAGCTTCCTCAAGCCATTGGGAAGGTTGTTTGGCCTCAGCTGCTCAACTGAGATAGTGGCAACTGAAGGAGTGTCCCAGTGACTTTGCCTGCAGTTGGAGAAGATGCAGGGCAGGCAGGGCAGCTTCAGGATATGCAGCCACAGACTGAATCTTGTCCATCCGTCCTCTGTCTCCTCGCAGTGGCAGAAGGCAAAGGAAGATACAATGGATTCTCCACCTTGGTCTTCTCCCATTGGAGGAGACTCTTATGCACCAAACCTGGATCCCGGAAGACACACTGTGAGGATCATAGCATCCTGGGCTGTGATCATGTCCTTTTGATATGGCCACACTCCCTGATATCATTCAGCCCATGGAGGAACAAACAGACGGTCATCTACCTCCCACATCCAATTTTGCTCCCACCCAATCAGAGAGGAGAGAAGGTAGGAGAAGAAAACATGTCCTTTTCCTCAGACACAGCCTTTGTTAAAGTCAATTAATCATCTTAATAAAGTGAAAGTACTTCTCTGCTTTGCCAGGGCCTTCAAATTACTCCTCAGTCATCCTACTGGTTGATCAGTTTGCCAGACTCTACCAAGCAACCCACGGGCCCGGAAGGAACCTCTGAGAGTTGATGTAGTCCAATTATTTCTCTAATCCCCCTATTTCAGCCCATAAAAGGAAACTCCAGATCATTCCAGTTTCCTCTACTGGCCCCTCTTTTTATTGAATCATAGAATAGTAGAGTTGGAAGGGGGCATGAAAGCATCTCTTCCTCTTGTATATATGGCTGTTTTTTCATTTTGTTTTTTGTTTTGGTTTCACTTCATTTTTCCCTAATGGGATCACCACACCCTTCCAACAGGAATGGGAACATGCAACCTTTCCAAGTTCATGGGACTGCAAGCTCCATCAGCCCTTACCACTGTCTAGGTTGTCTAGTGCTGATGAAAGTGGGAATTCAACAATATCCCCATGCTGCCTTTACTCCAGTCTGCTTTAGGAAGTTTCAAGGTAGGACATCCCATTCACCATGCTCTGGTAGCCTCAGACCATTGCATTGCACAACATTTCCATTTATTTTCCACATTTTGATGCTACCCAGTTCACAAAGCAAGCCTTGAAATCACAAAGCACAATATCCTAATTAGACATGAAATTAAAATAGTAACATGTTGGAAAGAGGTTAAAAAAAAAAAGCAGAAACAAAATCGTGTTTTTTTGCAAGGAGTTAAAAACATACTAGCATATTAAAAAAAAAAAAAACCTCATCAGAATGCCTAAAAGCCTGGAAAAATTAAAAAGACTTCACTTGGCACTGAACCAACAGGGTAGGTGCTAGGCAAGCTTCTTTGGAGAGGGCATTCCACAAACAGGGTACCATCACTGAAAAGGCCTTTCCTTACAGCTTCCCATATTTGCTGGGGACAACCAGAAAAGGGCTTCTGAGTGTAGCCAGATGGTCCAGGCAGGTACAAATGGGAAGAGCTAATCTTGTGCCACACAGAAGAGTTTCCCTCATGGATGAAGCCACCATCCATCAAGCATAGAACAGGAGTCCTCTATTGGTGGTTTTGGCAGCATGTTGGTGCAGCGAAACCAACACATTAAAGATCTCCATCTTAGGTAGGGTAACATGCACATAAATGCACAGATACATTTCACTTTGGTGGCTTTGGTCTGGGACTTTGCAAAATCTTTCTTCTTTTTTTCTAGAACTCCCTCAAGATGGTCCAGAAAGAGTCATTTTGTTCATTCCTTGATACTATTTGTGTCTCCAGTTCTTGATTTTACCTTCACTTTCATGCTGACACTAAATTAGTGCTTGAAAACGGCTTTGATGTCCTCACCCTCCTTGGCATTTCAGGGAGAGGGGGAGTGTGCAGGGAACCCAATAAAATGTAAATGTTGCAATGCCATTCAGAGTGGAGCTCTATCTTTGTAGTGCCTTGGAAGCCTGCCAGCATTAAATAGAATCCAGTTGGTATGAACTGAAGGGTCCCTGGCAGCGAATCAATATGGCAAATCTTGCAGAATAATGTCTTTTCTCATCAACGACAATAAAATCTGTTCTTTGGCTTTTGCTGTTGCAAATGGCATTAGCATTTGTGGGGAGAGAGGAGGAGGAGGGCCAGAGGTAAAGCTGAAAGCATGATAGGGAGTCATCCGTGGTTGCTGAAGAATGCGCTGTGACGACAGCCACTGCCTTTCAGTTAGCAAGCCTGGAAAGATTTGGTTGTTGATGTGACAGTTAGTAAATAAGGTGCTGCTGAACACAGAGGCAGAATGCAAGCAGGACACCAGCAAAATCAATTGCAGGAGTTTCCTTCCTGTAGTTAGCATGTGGAGCAACAAAAGTGAAAGACAGACTATGTGATAGTGGAAGCCATTGTTCTTGCACTGGGTTTCTGTACACTATTAAAAGTATGCATAAATGTCCACTTAAAAGTGTACAGATAAAAGTTCATCTCTCTATAGCGCAACATCATGAGATGTTCTCGGATGTTCTCAGAATCCATGCACCATGGGGCATGCTGGTGGCAAACACCAATTGAGTTCTCACATACCCCAAGAAACCAAAGGCGGAGTTTGGGGAGAATAATTTCTCATCTCTATGTAGGCAGTAAAGATGATTTATAGGGAAGCAGCCTGTTGAATTCTGACTATTAACTTCAGGTTCCCTGGCGCTGTCAGAAACTTAACAGGTTTATTCATCACATGGTTCTACTCAGCTTTGTGGCAGGGTTTTTAATGCAGGCCTGGAATAGAGTTTGTCCTAGTCCAAGGGAGGACAAAGGGCAGTCTGGAAGCAGGATCTGGAGGTTGGATTGTGTACAAGGAACAGGAGATGGTTCTTCACGGTGCCTGAAAACAGGAAATGGGATCAGCTGTGCCCTGCCTCAGTCCCTGCCGATGGAGCAAAGGCTAAGTGCAACACTCAGAGTGCCATGCTAATTCCCTGGCTTGGCTTGTTTTTCAGGAAAGGGGAAGCGACTGAGGCAAGCCAAGGAGGAAGCCACTGCAGAGATTGACCACTACAGGCTCCAGAGGGAAAAGGATTTCAGACACAAGCAGACACACGTAAGTTAGAGTCCAAAGGCAGACTCGATAAACCAGCCTCTCCCTACTTGGGACCTTCAGAAGGTTTTGGACTACAAGTCCCATAGTCACTCGCTAGCGGCCATGACAGGAGTTGCACTTTGAGGCATCCAGAAGGCACCTTGGTAGCCTTATTTGTCTGAGGAATGTCCTTCTGGGGCGTGACGTGATCCTGCATATAATGTCACATGTAGCATAACCCCACACTGTGCAGATTTGTGCACGGAAGCCCAGTTCCTGCAATCCTTCTTTCTGCGCTGGCCAAATCACATGCATGCAATGCACCTCCATCCTCAGTGCATAAAGCAGGACCCCCAAGTCTTTCTGGTCAGTAGGCACATTTGGAATTTGGAGACATTGTCTGGTCACTCTTGCAAACTGGATGCCTTGGAAGGTTTGCCTGTTGAGAAAATGGTTGACGCCAAAGCACTCATTTCACAGAAGCAAAAGACAAGTCATCAACGGTAGTGTGCCCAGCCCTGGTCTCCTTGTAGCCAAGTTGCCAGATTGTATGTCTCAAGAGTTACCTTTATTATGCAAATTATTTATTTATTTATTTATTTATTTATTTAAACATTTTTATGCCGCCCCATTCGCCGAAGCCTCGGGGCGGCTTACAACAATAAATTAATATAAACATTAAAAATCCAAAAAATACAATATAAAATAAGCTGCCCTGGCCAGATAAAATCAGTTAATACTAACAGTTAAAATACCGCTTAAATAAAAAGGTTTTCGCCTGGCGCCGAAAAGCAAATAACGACGGCGCCAGGCGGACCTCTCTGGGGAGCGTGTTCCATAAGTTGGGCGCCACCACAGAGAAAGCCCTCCTCCGAGTAGCCACCCTCCTAATTTCCTTCCCGGAGGGTTCCCAGAGAAGGGCCTCTCCCGCTGATCTCAAGGGGCGGGCGGGCATATATGGACGTAAGCGCTCCTTCAGGTAACCAGGACCCAAGCCGTTACAACCAGGACCCAACCCAATTACAAAACAATCAAACTCTTTCTCCTCCTGTCATCCTTCTCACTCTACAGGACCCATTTAGAAAGTACCTACCTGCCTACAGGACCCTTCCCAATAGCAGCCCCGTCACTTCCCTGGGCTTTCAGAGCAGGCTTATGAACTAACACACCTGAAACAAATATGGACCAGAAACAAATCCATCCATCCCAACCTTGTGTAGCAAGGCCCATAGCAAAGAAGGCCTTAACAGCATCATAGGTAATGTAACCGTGCATGCAAATTTTGTTTTGATCACAGAATACATTTTGTTTTGCCCCCACAGGTGATGGGCTCCCAAGGTGACCTGTCAGTTAAAGTAGATGATGAAACCTCCAAAAAGATCCAGGAACTCACTAGGAACTATCATCACAACAAGGAGAGTGTTATTGGACACCTCTTGGACAAGGTGTATAACATCAATCCTCAAATCCATTCCAACTATGCATATACAATTTAAAGTGTTTCCTGTTGCAGGAGTAAAAATACCAGTTCTGTCAGGCAGAGGGATGTGGCTTGATTCAGGCGGCAGATTGGGGAGAAGTCTATTAAATGGGAGCATATTGTCAATTACTATATTTTTGTATCCCCTGCAAGGATTCGGCAGGAGCCATTTGAATGTTCTGCCTCCAACACAACTGTCATGAGCTGTCTTTGAGCAGAAGGCATTATTTTCCTAAACCAGTTGTTGCTCAATGTTTCACTGTGTTGTGTAATCACAGAGGTGTTTGTAAGATTTGTGGCATGACCAGCTCCTATAAGGTTTCACACAATCATTTGATCGCATATTTGCAGCAGCACCAGTTTTCACTGCTCCCCACTCTTTTTTTTTCTTTTCTTTTTTGGTAGCAAAGAATGTATCACTCACATATAAGTAAAGGAAGAATAAGGAAGAGTTTGACACCAACAGCTTTTTAGTGGGTGTTTTTTACTTCTTTACTTATGTTCTGTACTTCTTAAAAAGTGTTCTGTTCATATGACTTGGCCCATTGCAGGAAATCTGTTTGTCACAATATGTGGAGTGTTTAAAATAACCAAGTATGTAATAAATAATATAGATATATTAGACCTAAAATTAAAACTCTTGTCTCTAGCATTATACATACAGAAACCCAAAGAGTATATACACTTGGGCATCTTTACAGATTATATCAAGCAACAGAGAATTCAGGCATTCTTTTTTCTGATTGAATATTTGCTCAGAATACTTCCCACTCCCTTTATAGATCTAAAACACATCCAAAAGAGAGCTAATGTTAGTAGCCTCCATCAAAGAGGGGACTCAGGTTCAAATCCCAAATTCTGGGCCATGGCATTTACTGGGAGACCTTCAGCCCTTTAATAGCACAATTTAACCTAATAATTAATTTAGCTGTGTGATTTAGCTGCATGATTTCTACGCATAGATTTCTATCTACAGAATTCTGCCTATATCTGTGACTATCATGTGAGATTATGTAATTATCCAATTTCTTATAGATTTACTTAGAAACAAGTCAGTTTCATTTTGACAGCAATGTGTTCAATGCCCCGCCATGTTTCCCAACACTTCATGCAATGGAACCATGGACTTTGTCATTCTACAGTATAACACAGTTTTATCCTGATTTGTTTCTTTGCATTTGTTCAGAAAATATGTAGAATTGCAAGGAAGAGGAAGAGGAGGGGAAGGGAAGAAGGGGGAGGAGGGAGAGAGGAGAAAGGAAGAGGAGGAGACAATCTTGCAATCTTTGAATTGTTCCATTAGGGAGTCAAGAAGATGGAAACACTACAGACAGATCAAAGATAATAAACGTAATGTCTCTCAGACTAGATAATTAAAAGTGCACATCTATGGCCACTGACCATGCCTAGGTGGGCACAGGAAAAGTCAGAATTCCACTTCACCTTGGAAAAGCTCTCTAAGGTTGGCGCCAAGACTCCACCTTTGGAGTAATCTCCCTCTGCCTTTTCAGCTGACACAGGTCTTTCCATGCTGGCTGTGGATCCCAAGGCAGAGCACCAGCTTCTGGGCTGGCACAGAGAGGATGTCCAGGGGATGGGGAGGAGAGGGGTGAGGAGTCATCATGCTTTGTGGAAATCCAGCAGTGCATCAGCCCTCCCCTCCTTGTGATCCAGAAGAAAACAATTAAAATGGACAAAAGAAGTCATCCAGGTATCTTGCAGCCACATCGGATCATGCCACAACTTTCTCAGACCCGCAACTGTAGTGCAAAGAAAATAATATTGTGTACCTTTGTGGCTTACTCTTCTGGCTCAGCCAAAACTGACTGTGATTTCCCAGAGAAGGCAGTGATCTTAGCACCACCAGTTAGCATCTGACCCTAGGAGAAGGCTGTAAACAGCTGAACTCAGTCAGCTGTTATTGAGGAGCTACTAGCTGTGGGCTATTCGAGACCCCTGCATTTCCTGCCTGTCTTGTATTTCTTTGGCTTTAATCAGGCTTTGGACAGCACTTCAAGTAGTGGGTGCCCTCAAACAGAGGACTGTGCTCTGCAAAGTATGACTCATGGCCAACCTCAGTCTGAAGATAGTTCAGGGAGTCAACAGAGAGATGTTGTATTTGCCAGCTACTGTTCCCATAATGTCAGGGCTCTCTCTTTATAATCCTTCTTACAGCATGTCCTCAGAATAACTCTTGTGGATAATGCTCACTTCTGTGCACATAGTCACATGCATGCACAAGCCGTCAGGTTTCCAGAACTTTCTCTTGGCCTGGTGTCCATATGTCCTGTTTACAGAGGACAGTCTTCTGTTTGAAGGGCTGCTGAGTCCAAGTTCATTTTAAAGGCAAAGAACCATAGCATAATATAAGGTATCTTAATTGTCCCCATCTTCTCTACTCCAGTGGGACATAATGGCTGGAATCACACCGCACAATTGCCCACCCTCAAGACTGAGTATGGATTGAGTATGGTCTGTTCCTGCTGAACTGTGGATTCTTGTGTTGAATGAAAGCAGCTAGATTTACAACCCAAGATTACAAGCAGTCCATAGTTCACAGCAGCAAATAATCAGTTCTCGTTGTGGATTAACAAACCATAATTTGTTAGCAAACCTGAGTTCATACCCATGGTTCAACAACAATCCACACTCCACCCATACACAACTTTGAGTGTGGATTGTTGTGTTGGGCAAACCCAATAAATGCCTTTCTATTATTTATAAATTTGTATCTATGCATATGAATTAGCATATGCAATTTTCATTTTGTGCATATCTTCCTCCCTCCTCCTCCTCCTCCTCCTCCACCTCCTCCTCCTCCTCCTCCTTCTTGCAATGCAAAATGGCAACATTATGTTACTGGCTTACTTTATGATAAAAAATATTCACACAGGGATCATTATTTCTCTAACATTCTTGTCCAAAATCAGAATGGGAAAGGCCTATGATATTCAGGTACAAGTCAGCACAGATAAAATATTCTTATGAAAGGGAAGAACTCATGTGCACATGTGAAGCTGTAATCTTTCTGAAAGGAAAGTGGAAGAGACTGAGACTGTCACATGTCAATTCAGTGAACACATTTCCTTGCAATACGGGGAAACTGTGCAGCTGCCAGATAAAAGTTTAAGAAGGTGGGAAGCATTTTGGCTACAGCTCAAGCAAAGCCAACAGAAGTTGAATGACGTGGCCACCATGGTAGACAGAAGAGTGAAAGAGATTCAGGTGTGCAAAGAAAAAAGACTCCAGCATGGAAAGGAGCTACAAGACTTGTATGGTGCATCTGGCTTAGAGGAAAAAAGGAGAGGAAGAAAAATACCCAGAAGGAAGACTTCGAGAGACTTCCTGAAGGGAGTCACAATACAAGAGCATCCTGTCTGGATCAGAAGAAAGATCCATCGAGTCCACCATCCTGCTTCCAACAAGCAACCAAATGCTCGTGGGAAGTCCGTAAGAGGGGCATGAGCCAGCCTCTGCTGTTAAACTCCAGCAAGTCACACTCAGCAGCAAATTGCCTCTGAACCTACTGGTGCTGCTGAGGGCTGAACACCACAGAGGGAGAGAGAAAGGGCCTGCAGTGCAGAATACAGAAAAGAGGAAAGCATTTTCCCGCATGATGCATGGGTTACATTTACACTTGCAAAGGAGACTGCCACTCGCGTCACTTTAAGGCCTAGTTTCACCCAGCTCTGTCCCACGTCCGAGATTTCAGCCTTCCTGTAATCAGTGCAGATCCAACCAGCTTTGATGCAGAAAAGCAATCTGGAAGATCAAAAGAACTAGCAGCATGCACAGGTTCTGTAAATCATTCAGTGTAGCACAGGCATCCTCTCATTAAAAACAACACTCCCCATCCTGTTTTCTATACACACAGGCAAAAAAGCCATGATAGATTTATTGTACATCAACAGACCACACCTACCCACATTTCGGCAACCCTTTAGTTCTCCTGTGCCTCAGTGTAAACATAAGGGATTGTATGCTCCGGTTTCCTGCACTGATCATGGTAGCCTCCCTTTATTTGCAGTCCCTTTGTTTACAGTCCACTGTTCCTCATTCTTGGAAATGCAAAGGACACCTCAAACTGCTGCATTGCAAAATCCATTCACTGAAAACACAGGACCATGGAAAACTCTGTGGAATTCATCACTCGGGACTGGAAAAATCATGAAAAACAAATCCAGGTTGTGGGGTGTGTTATGAATGTTGTGCTGTCTTCCAAGACTAATATCCATCAAGAAAGCCACTCACTGGAAGGCCTGGCTCACAGAAGGTTTGCGTAAAATAGAGGTGCAGAACGATATTGGGGTGTGGGGCCCAATAAACCCTCTACGAGCCAGGTGACAAGCCACTCTGTGCATACTCAGAGTTTCATTCTGGGTGCTTGTGCTTCTGGAAAATACTTTGGTCAATAAGAACATTTTTGCAAGAAAGGTCTGTGGCTGTCAATGTGTAAGCAGAGGAACCCTAGTCCACAACCCTGCCATCCTGCCCCATTGGGGCCTTTCTCCACACTGGGAGAGACACAAGGTCTGTGCTTATTCCAGTACAGAGAAAGGAACCTGGATGGGATGGTGAGGAGCATCCATCCCAGTGGAGTGCCGCAGGAAGAATCTGCAGTGCCGGAACCCCCTGTTCTCTTGGTATGGGAACAGAGGGTGCAGTGGGACTTCCCATATGCTTGCTTCCCTCCCAGTGGGGGACTCCAGGAGGCTCTGGGGTGGCGGAAGGGCTCTGTGGGCTGGATTAGGACCCACGGGGCAAGGTTTCTACACCTCGCAGTGGTTCCAGACCATTGCTGCAATTTCAAGGAAAGGGCAGGGGAGGGGGGAGGGCAAAGAGCATTTGGGGTACTGAGGGTACTGAGTACCTCAGCATTTGGGGTACTGAGGCTGTCAGGGGAGTTTGGAGGAATGGTGGAAGGGAGAGAAGAGGGCCTGGATGACATTTTTTCCAAGCCTTCCACTTGGCCCTGAAGAAACACTGTCTGAGATCTTACTATTTCTTTTGTTGAAG